CGAAGGAGGCAATAATATACAACGGGGAGTCTTCAATAAATGGTGTGGAAAAATGGGACCTCTCTCACACCTTATACAAAAATAAACTCAAAATGGATTAAAGGCTTAAATGTTAAGACCTGAAACCATAAAACAAGAAGCAAACATAGGCAGTGAACTCTTTGACATCAGTGTCAGAAATACATTTTTGGATGTGTCTCCTTGGGCAAGGGCAACAAAATAAAAAGCAAATGGGACTACATTAAGCCAAAAAGTTTTGCACAGTAAAGGAAACCAACAAAACGAAAGGCCACTGAATGGGGGAAGATATTTGCAAATGATATATTTAATAACGGATTAATATCCAAAATATAGAGTTCAACATAAAAAAATAATAATCCAATTCAAAAATGGGCAAAAGATCAGTAGACATTTCTTCAAAGAAGACATGTAGACTGTGGACACACGAAAAGGCACTCAACTTCACTAATCATCACAAAAATGCAGGTAAAATCCACAACGGTATCACCTCACACCTGTCAGAACGGCTGTCATTGAAAAAACAAGAAACAAGTGTTGGTGAGGATGTGGAGAAAAGGGCACTGTTGGTGGGATTGCAAATTGGTGCAGCCACTACGGAAAATACGGAAGATCCTCAAAAAATTTAAAATTGAACTACAACTCAGCAATTTCAGTTCTCAGCATTTATCCTAAGGAAAAAAAAATTAAATAAGATATATGCACGCTTATGTTCATCACCGTATTATTTACAATAACCACTACATGGAAGAAACCTCAATGTCCATTGATAGATATCTATCTTACATACAATGGAATATTCCTCAGCCATAAAAAAATGGAATCTTGCTATGTGACAGATGGACAAGAGGGTATTATGTATGCTATGTGAAATAAGTCAGAAAGACAAATACTATGTCATGTCACTTATACGTGGAATCTAAACAAATGAACAAAACACTCAGATACAGAAAAAAAACTGATAGCTGCCACAGAGCTGGACAGTGGGTGGAATGGACAAAAATGGTGAAGGGGATTAAGAGGTGCAAACTTATAAATCATGCAGGTGTAATGTACAGCTCAGGAAAATCAATATTGCAATAACAGTACAGTGACAGATTGTTACTAAACTTCTCATGATCACTTTGTAAGGTTTATATACATGTCAAATTATTATACACCTAAAACTAATATATTGTATGTCAACTATAAGAGCTTCACGTCCCCCCCCCCCAAAAAAAGGTAATGCTATAAAAGATGTCCCACCTAGTTTAAAATACAAACAGTATAGCAATGAAGTTTTTCTCAAAACCTTGCTGTATTACACCCAACCTTACAAATTTGTACTTGGTCACTTATACTTACCAAACTTGACATTTTTATGATTCACAATGATGTAATATGTGTACAATTGGGAATCTCAATTGCGCAGATAAATTCAAATAGTATATTACAATATGATAAAAGAGTAAAACACTTTTTCTCCACAAACATACAATATATAATTTAACCTTTCTTGATATTTCTGGTCATTTTGGAAGACTATTGCAGCTTTTGCTGTTATCAACACTATTCTAACCAAGAGTATTTTCCAAAACACAATGTGTCCACCCAAGGATTCCAGTTCACTTTCCCAAATCTTACCATCCCTCCAGCAAGACGTCGCGTCCCCTCCCATTAAACCTCAGTGGGCTTGTGGCTGACTCTAGAACCAATAGAATACAGAGGTGATGACTTCCCAGGGCAAGTCATAAAAAGGGTAACTTTGCCTAACCTTTGGAAACCGCCACTGTCCTGTGAGGCAATGTCTAGGTAGAGTTCTTGCCACATCCCAGCTGAAGTTCCATTTAGCATCAATCCCTGTACACGAAGAGCCTTCAAGTGATTCCATTCCCTCTCCTTCAGTAGAGTGAAAATGAAGTATCCATGCAGTCGGCAAAATACATCTTGTCAACGTTTGAAGTTTTGGTGGTGGTTTTGTTATATGCAGTACTAGGTAACTGCAACCATTACTGGTACACTCCATTCTGATAGTCCCATTGAGTTTATGGAACAGTATACACAGTCCAGCTTTGTTTTGCTGATTTTCTCAATACAAATGACCCAGCATGTAGGAATGTGACAACAAAGAGTGTTGGAATATCCTGGTTGACTTATGCGATTGAACTAATGAGAATCAATCATTTAACTTGCTACAAGGTCCCATACAGTATTATGGTTGGTACACTGGAAGAAGTCCAGATAAATCCTAGGGAATCTACATATACAAAATATTGCTGTACACCTACCACGTTCCAGGCCCAATACTGGAAGTTAGGAAATCCAATAACGAGCAAGTATCCCTAGAGTCCTTCCTGAACTGGTAGAACCAGATCAGAACTGAAAAACCAGAGTGGGTATTAATTCAATAAACAGGTGATTATGTTGAACGAAGAAGATAAGCACAAAAGACCAGTGGCAGGAAGTGAAAGAAAAGGCAGCCAACCAGAGCTGAAAAAGAGCTCACATGCAGGTTAGACAGGTCACGTTGTTGACGTTCAAGTTGCTCTCAAAGTTCTAGGACCACTCAGCAAGCCAAATGAACAGCAAAGACAACAGTTCCAGCCTCTAGTTTTGAACCATGTAGCGATTAGCCTAATCCAAACCTAAAATTACATCTCAAGACACCTCTCATTGTCTACCTCTAGGATTGTCCTTCCACAATGTCCAGGGTTCAAGATAGATTTTAGGGATGTACAGAATGGGCTTACTAATGACAAGTTGGGTGTTTTGGAGCATAAGCTATCTAAATACAATCAGACCACTTTTACCATAAATCTTCAGGATTCAGTTTAAGGCAAATAAATCAGCATATGAAGTTTTTAAATGCGTCATAAAAACAAAAAAAACAGTTGACTTTAGGTTAAGAGCAGCAAATTATTTTCTATTTCCATACGTTTCCTCCCCACCTCTTCTACAACAAACATCAAAACCCTTCAAAATGAGGCATACTTTTCTATTTATTATAGTCTTAGTCTCCACGTTCTTTTGTATCCAAATATGGACCCTCGTAGCCAGGAGCAATTTTACTTTTAGAACAACAATGAAAAACTCTGAAATTAACTGCCAAAATCAATTTAAAGTGATTCTCCCCCCTGCCCAAAGTGATCCCAACCACGAATTCTAGGTTCTGTTAGGAAGCACCTTTACTAAGTGCTCCCTTTTATTTATTGTAATATGGCTCTACTTGTTATATGGTTCTAAGTACTCCCCAAGTACTAATACTCTGCTCACAATCTTTCACAAGATGATTGAAACATCAAGCCTGAATGAACAAGTGGTAAATGGACTCCAGAGCATGTTTAACTCTCCTACCACTTAATGTTATTAACTATTTCATTCCGTCATTAAAGTCATGTTTAGGGGTTACAAAGTTTCAGTATAAAATTACATCTTTTCCATTTTTATTTACATAGAGCAACCCCACCTACATTTTTCAATTGGATCAGCTACTAACTCCACCTATTTGAAGGTGGTTACAAATAAGGATGGGGTAAGGCTTGGAATCCTATTGTGTTGGGTTAACTTTGAAGTATTCAGAACATGTTTAGTTTTTTATTCATTTCCTACATCTGTCACCTGAAAAGGCCTAGAAACAAGGACATCCTAGAAATAAGCTTACCCAGCACCCAGACTTGGTTTCTAAACACCATCCCCAATTAAAACAGGGATCCTTGGAGAAAAAGCCTAAGAAAAGATTCAAGTCTCTTTCAGCTAAAGTAATACTAAGTTCTCAAACGATGTAAGTTACACCAAAATTGCAGAGGAACCAGTCTAAAAAGGATACCGCTGGTCAAATCTGGGATGATTTAAGCATCAAAATGAATTGCATAAAGACTTCCTGATTTTGATTCATTGTACTGTGCTTCTAATGTCTTCGTGCTGAGGAAACAGAATTGAGTAAAGGAGCATGATGCCTTCAACTTTGTCCAAGTTTTTAAAAAGTGTATATGTATGCATAAGAATATAAATGTAGCAAAATCAGTAAGTGGTGATTTAAGTATAGATCACAACTATTATAATTTGAGAAGTTGAAACATCAATAGAGGCACTGTCTCCTTCACTCCCCCAAATCATGAAATTTGACTTGAAGAGGATTCATAGTAGACAACCCTGAAAATCCATTATTTTAAGAGGAAATTCACCCCTTGCTTTTGACAAGGTAGACTACTTCAGACCTAGCCTCTAAATAGCCCTGAGGCCTGGAGCATAAATGTTTTAAACTTCAAATGGCTCTTATTAGTCTATCATATCTTAGTTTAAAAATTATCTTCATGGAGAGGTCCATCCCACCTAAAATACTCTGAACAGGTGGTTTTCCGTGGTTTAAACCCTTTAAAAAGATTTCCATGGCTGTCTTCATAGCTTGGCCCCTTGTATTTCCACCCATTCTTTCAATACCCTGAATTGTCCTACTTAAGGACGACCTTCATTTGTCTCCTCCAGTATCTTCACCTGAACTGCTCTGTGCTCAGAGGCTCCATTCCATCCCTCACTACACAAGTTCCTACACTTTCTCGAAATTCCAGCTAAAAGCTCACACAAACTGAGTATTTTTGGCAGAAACTATTTTACCACTCCATGAAAAGTTCAGATCCAAACTGCCTAACTTCAGTATGAATGACAAAATTATGAGTATTAATACCATTAACTCTAGCCGAAATCTGTCAATTTCTGGCACTATTTTTGGTTATTTGTCCCCAGTTCCTCTCCTTGCTTTTAAGTTTAAAATACATGAAGAACTAAACAGCACTGCTTTTATGTTAAGCAACATTTTATCCTGAGTTTCAAAATTAAACAACTGGATTAAGGACTTCTTTCCTGTGGTCAGTTTATTATCTCTAAATTGTTATACTGTTTCTCATTTATTTTATACTTAAGAATATTAGTCAATAACTTTTTTAAACTGAAAAACCTGGAAGTACAGTATGTCAAACAGAAGAAACACAAGATACAAAGCACGCTGCACTTTTTAAAAATATAATTAACTGAATACATCAATTAAAATTTCTCATGGATAAACACTTATCCTTAAATAATTCACATTCCAACAAAGATGTTTTCATTTCTCTGAAGTGGTCCTTAATCAGTCCAAGAACTTGTTTTTTTGCTCAAGTTATAGTTTAATACCTGGATTTTGAAACCAGTATACAAAATCACTATACAATGATTAAATTAAGCTCAGTTAATTCCACTGTTATCATTCACATTTTCTATTAGAGACTTAGTGCTTTAAGTAGCAAATTATCTAAATAATGAACACGTTAAGCTGATTAAATAATGAACACGTATTTTCAAAACAAAATCCAGTTTACAATTACCAAATATATATATACAGTGCAGATTTGTTAAAAAACTAAATTAGCATGTGATTTTTCCTTTCTAAGGTTCCTATAAAGAAATGTATGTGCTTCCTCTAAGCTATCCATTTATTCTATACATTTAAAATAACATCTGGATTGATTTAAAGTAAAAAATAAAGGCTAAAATTTTTATAGGACTAACCCATAAAAATGAACTGGAATTCTAAATTGAGTCCTGAAACCATTCAAAGAATATTTGAATATTAAACAGTGTAATATTTCTGCATGGTACAATAAAGTTTTCACAAACAATAATTCAAAGTTTAATGTTTTCAATGGAAATGGTCTACAACTCAGATAAACCCACAAATTGATACTGTCTTACAAGCAGCAGTAATATAAAGTTAATTCAGTTATCTTAGGGGGCTTATCATATACCAATCAATGTCAACCTATTCACAGAATGAAAATATTTCTATCAAAGCTATAACCTCCTTTTCAAGGTGTATTTGTTATTAAATGAGCTAAAAAGAGGCAGAATCCCATTTAATTCCATACAATTAAAGACATTTTTATCACAAACACTAATACTGCTCCAGTGATCCAGATCAATTTATGTAATTTCTCAGAATTCTTTTCTTTCAGACACCCATGTTAAACTACAAACTAACAATTTATGGAACTGGTGTTCTGTTTACTTACCATATTTGAATAACCATAAAATGTCAAAAAAATGTTTTCACAGTATTACTTTTTAGGTGATCATATTGGATTTTATCATTTCTAGAGAAAAAAAAAAATGAGAGAACTTCTTGGCAGCCAGTGCCTGGGCTAGAGAAAACTACAAACTGAAAATGTAATATAAAGATAAAATTTGAAGTGTCTCAAAAAAATCTACGGTTAACTCAGAGTAAAATCTGTAGAACTGTGGACTTTCCTTCTAGTCTTCCAGTAACAAACTCCATTTAGCAGTCCTTGGGAGTTTGCTCATAATTTGAAATTTACAGGCCACCTATTCTAAACATCTCTACTCTGTGTTCTTCCAAAAAAAAGCAGTCACTTAAAACAAAAAAAAAAAACAAAAAAAAACACCCAAAATATCACCAGTACATTTTATAAAATTAAATGCAAATTTTATTAAGGATTTCAAATTACATATTTCAAATTTCTAAAATGGAATAGAACCATTTTGGAACTGGAGAGATAGCATAGATGAACACTGATAACCCTTGAAACTCCAACTTTATTAAGAGAACAATTCCTCTGCAAACCACATCACCTTTATATAACAAGACGAAACAGTGTTTACTCCTTCACTTTGGCAATAGCTATTTCCTAAAGGAATGAAAAAAATAAAAGTAGTGGTTTTGCTACTTTAAGGTCATTTAAAATGGAATTCTATCTTTAGGTTAAAAAAATTTTTAAGTTCAGCTGTGTTCAAATGAGCTCTGGGTACAAAAAAAAAAATCAGCACAGAATATCTAATCAAAGCAACCAAAATCACTTTGAAAATGAAGAGGAAAAACATTAAGGTGCTATCATGGCATTTTTTTCCCCCCTACAAACTATTGCAACTGGTTAAGGATTTCCAGTAGTTAATTAAAATCTCAGGGGCGGAATGGATAGTACCATAGAAATAGCAAAATGTGTTCACATTCTAAGACCTTCGTACTAAATTTTCAAAATGGAAGCTGTATTACCTCTAAAAATGAACCTAATGTAATTTTATTTAAGTGCAGAAACTCTAAGCTGTCCTCTAATTACAATCCAATTAGTTCACTCTCACTGTCAAAGCTTTTCATAAGTTCACCACAAAAAATTAACAGTAATTAGCCTGAGGTATTTTAAATGTGGCTCCAGTCTCAAATTTAATGGCATTTCCCCCCCTAAAAATGGTCTTATTTCTATTTTAGTCCCATGATTTCTACAGTATGGTCATAACTAAAATACCTAAAAACAATCCTTGGACCTTTTGAAATAGTTGGTTATCCATCTACTTGTATTAAAATAGGAGCCACACAAAGGCCAAGAGTGTTGCCTGACCACATCCAGAATAAAGTACTTAACCTTTGTTTTCCAGTTTATTTATCAAACCCTGGTATGAATAAAATGCTGAATATCATACTTGTGGTGCAAATAGGTCCAAATTGTTAAGGTTGAAAAACATTTCATAAAATTGAACTTAATGTGCCTAACACATCTGTGAGGTAGTTAAGTAAACAGTACTACCCATTTTAATACACAGTAAACAGAAGCATGGGTAAATAACATACTAATACTTTAAGCAAAAAGAACTGGAATTAACCATAGAGGCCTGGGGCCCGCCCTCATTCTAACTGAAGGAAATAAAACTTAACTTCTTAATCTTTCTTTAAAAAACAACATTACATCATTTAAGATTTTGTCTCTCTCTGTTTTTCCTTTCTTGTTAGGAGATGCAGTGCACCTCTTCCAAAGTTGGCACCCTTTTCTTCAATATGGTAAACTGGGTACAAGGCTTATTAATCCAAGCTAGGACTCTGCTTCTACCTGAATTAGTACAAAATTAAGACATTATCTTGTGAGAACTAAAATTATATTTGACATTTTTATTTTAGGCTGCAAAAACAAAAACAAGCAAACAAACAACAAAAAAAAACTTGAAATAGGCTTGTCAAATGATGAAAAGTCATCCTTTCCAGGGAAGCAGAAGGTAGACCCTACCACAAAGAAAAGATGCTTAGTTAATGGAGGTTAAATTTAAAAGTGCAGTAAAAATAATGAAGCTTAACTTCTGAAAATACTAGGTTTTATTCACCCTTCTGTTATAACCAGTAACCATACTACTGAGTTAGGGTTCTTTAGTTAACTATGTCACCTAAAATACCAAAAATCCATTAACACTCTAAGTTAATGGGTGTGGTATTACTGGAAATTCTTAACCATGTACTTGTCTTGGCAAGTTTTGTTTTTGTTTTTTTAAATGATGAATTGTCTTAGTATAAGCACTGCATTTCTAAAAGTAATGAAAGGCAAAGCTAGTGCAAGCAAACACCCAGTTCACTACCAGCTGAAAAAATACTTTGGTTCTTCAGGAAAAAAATTAGCAAAACAAAATATCTGTTTCATTTAACAGTTCTGTTTATTTTCATAGCTGTAATCTAACAGTTACAGGATAAAAATACTCCAGAAGAACCAAACTATGTAGCAATGAATGAAAACGTGTAAATTTCTACATTCAACATATCTGGCAGAAAAACTAAAGTTAAAATGCTAGGCAGAACAAATTGGTCTTTAAAATATCAATTCCTTTCCTTTAAAAAAAAATTAGTGAGTCTATCAAGGAAATACAAAAACATAAGGCTGTAAGTAAATACTAGTCGTGTTTAGGCTATTACAGTGCAGGTTATCCTCAAGGCCACATACATCCTGCTTCACTGCTGCTTGCACTCTGCTGGGTTTTGATCCTTCTGTTAAAGGAAAACAATAAGTCAATCTACCTTTTTCTACCTGCTTCAGTTCATTTTTCAATAGTAATTAACTTGATTCAAACATTAGCAAGTCACCAAAATGCTAAAGCCCAAATTTACATTGTAGAATGAACTCCATAAAATGAGAGCCATAAATCTCAAAAAATTAAATAACCAAGCAACTTGTTAGTCACATTATCCATTTTTGCTTTTATAGAGCAGTTAGTTATTCCAAAAACACTAATTCTGTTCCTATCTAGCTAAGAGCAATTCATAACTGTTAGAATACAATTTTTAACTACCCTCTCTTAACTGCTCACTAAGTTAAAGTATCTTCTGAATATTTTATAGCATTTAGCAAATAAATGAATGTATTAAAGACAAACCAGAGCTTCTGATAAAATGTACTATGTATTTTGAGGGAGGATAAAGGTCTTTATTAACCTTAACATGACAAATTCCAGGAATAACAGACTGGCATTCAATAGATGGAGAACAGAGGTCACTGAAATTTCTATTAATAACAGTACTGCTCCCCTATTCCCAAGCACTCCTGCATTCAGATGATTAAAAACCTGAACTTTGTTTATAAGAAAGGTTGTTTTCTCTCCAAAGGAAAGCTAAGACCACAAGCTGTAAAGTAATTTAAAATGCTTCTAAAAAACATTAAAAATATCCAAGATGATGTGCCATTAAAATAGAACCCTAGGGTTAACAGCCTGAAACTATGAAAAATACCAAGTCAGAACCAAACATAAAAGTTTCTTAGGACAGGTGCATTGAAATTACATGCATGTTGAAATACCACTGAAGATTAAAAAATTATATATAATCTCCAGTCAGTGGGCTTATTAAAGACTTCAGTGGACAAAAATAAAACTTCATATTCAGAAATAGCAATTCTTATTTAACCTGCCTTAAATTTCGTAGAAAGCAGTACTAATTCTGCTCACCTTTGAGTCATAGTCTGGATCATTTTCCTCATCTTCTTCTTCCCCTTCCTATATTAAAGTTCAAAATGCATCCATGAAGTAGGTACACAGTAGCAAGAAATGGCTCATAATGTAGGGAGAATTTAATACAAGTTACTCTATAGGTCAACAGATTTTCATGATTACAGAGTTTGGTGACAATGCAATTTAATCTGAAAGCTTCTAATATGAAAAATTTCCCAACACAACTTGAGACATCCAGACAGCTTTTATTGAAAAGATTTACTGCAGCCAACGTTGAAAAAGTTTACTGCAGCTTTTGACTTCTTCAAAGAGCTGATAACCCTGCAGCAGAACAGAATTATTTGAAATAAAAAAAATGTTCTGAGTTTCGCAATTTATTTATTGAAACCTTATACATACATTGATTGTTTGGCCGTAGAATTCTAAAACCATAATTTTTCCAAAAATGTTTTTATCCCGTATCACAGAATAATGATTATAGCAAAGAAATACATAAGTCACTCAATTTGCTTCTCAATGTGTTAAACAGAATTATTTGCTCATTTGGTAAACATTACCTCATCCGCTTCTTCACCTTCTTCATCATACTAAAAAAGGAAAAAGGATCAAGTTTGAATGAAGCTAACAAACATTTGAGAACAGCATATCCATCATTGTATCCACTAATATCTAAAAAGAGGAAAAGTGCTTTCCCTAAGGTGACTGATTATAAATTAAAACAAGAACAATAGCTGTAGGAATCACTCAGCTCAGTGCCATTATACAAACCTGACAATCTGAAAAATTAAGAGCACAATAAAATTGTGAATAAAGTGTGACCAGACAACCATTAGTGTAAATATTTGACTTGCCTGTCCCTATGTGTGGAACACAATGCACAAAAAGGACCTAACACCTACTTGAAAGATTGCCATTTAGCAGTAAAGATATCCAAAACATTTGAGGGTGGGCTAATTTCACCTTAATCATTATTTAACATTCCTTCAGACAAAAATTCTATGCTTCTTAATAAATATTGTTATCTTCAGCACTAAAAAAGTCCTAGGCATGTTTTATTTGGTCAAAGACAAAAGCATAATAAATCTATAACAGTAACCACACATAGTCAAGATTCACTACTTTAGAGTAGCCTTATTAGCAGCAAAATAAAACAAAATAAAAACAAATGAACCCAAAGAGGACCTATTTAAAACACTTCAGGAAAATTATCTACAGGACATCAGTAATGATCTGTTTTGCTTTCTAAAAATTACATCTATTCATTAAACCTCTCACCAATTCTGACCATCACAACCTCACCAAATGACTTTACTGCAGGATTCTGATTCACTCACATCATCATCATCATCTTCAATAGCTTCTCCAGTAAAGTATAACACTGATCTTGGGATTATACGCTGACGTAAAAAGTGACCAATTTCAAAGTCTGCAGCAAGGATAGCTTCAGCATCATCATCCTATTTAAAAAGAAGAAAAGCACAAAATTTAATAACTTTGTAATTTATTTTGGCATATGTGAGAGTCTTCGGTTTAAATCACCAAGAAACTCTCAAGTTCACTTTTAACTTCCCGTCACTTTTAAACTAGCTTACGTGTGTGATCAAACAGTCACCTACATACCCATATGCCTAGGTTTACAGTACAGGTTTTTAATAAAAAGAAAGTTAGCAGGCCAGTGTACATACTCAGAGAAACTTTGGGAAATAAAAATCAGAACTGGTTATTGCTTTTTTTTTTTTTTTCTGGCTTAAAAGTTATAAAAAAGCAACTGTTATATGACTGCAGTTTTCCTTTTAAAATATTAGTTGCTGAAAACATCAAACGGGGTAATTTAAGAATCACAGGCTTTTTTTGTAAGCAACATTAAGTATATGGGACATAATAAAAGCCTACAGAGGATCACTTCACACTTCCATAAAGCAGCTGTGTAATGCCAAACGAGGAGACAGATTCCTACTTGATAAAGGCTAAGCCAATCTAGGATTTCTATTTAATGGCAAAGCACAGCACAGAAACGGCATTGACATTATTCAAAATTAAAACAATCCCATTTAAGTTTTATGACACTAAAAATTGACAAACATGCTGTGAATTCCATATTTATTTTGATCCATCAACAAAATCTACTAATAAAGCAACAACAACAAAAACACAAAAGGGGAGGCAGACTTTAAAAGAACAAATTCTAATCACAGGTAGAAGTATTCTATCCATAACTACTCAAGATTGTTTTATTACTATCAATATTTGTTTAGTAACAGACTAAAACAAACACTTGAACATAAATTCTAATCCATCTGTTGGTTGACATAAAATAGTGCAGAACTTGATAAATGCTTATAAGTACTTCTTCTGACCTAAAATTCACAAGCTGCTTTATATTCCCCATTTTTGTCCTATAAAAGATATTTCGAGCCAAGGAAGTTATTGCTCTTTACAACATAGAGAAATACTTGCCTTTTGCAGATCTGGTCTAAGCCTTGGCCAAAACTATTCCAATTCAAAAGTATTCAGATAAACATAATTTCTAATTCCATATATGTATAAAACTATTTAAACTGCCTCAGTGAATTTAAATTCAAAAACCTGGCCAACAGAAAACCAAATTCAAAACACACCTAGCCTACCCTGTGTGGACAGACTTCTTTGAGGTTGTTCCTCATTCCAGGCTGTATGCCAGGCACATTTCTTAGGGCTTGGCCATATAGCCATATATATAAAACTGTATTTCCATTGGAATCATAAACAAAGAGGTTCTAACTAGAATGTGGTTAGACAAGTTTAGTAAATATAAATGATTTAATACATTCTAGTTTCAACAAGGAAGAGAACTATTGTCTTGAAAACTTGAATCCCTCACAGCAATATTTGTAAGTTTCAAAAGAAAAAATCTTTAGCTTTTTTTAGCATTTCCCAGTGGAATCACTGTATGCATTTTGAATGCAATAATTGTGCAGATGCATAAAGGTCTTCCACATGCACTGCAAGCCTCAGAACAAAATGCTAGTAGCAACTACCCCACTCCCCACTTTTGAGAACCAGTCCTTTAATTTCATTTATAGTGAACAATTTAACAAATAAATATAACAATTCGGCTTACCAGGTCTCCACTCTCAGGAACTGCAAAATTAAGGAGAGAGATTCAAATAAATAAAAAGACCAAACAAAGTTTATAATAAAAAATCATCAATACCCACACTAAAACACTATTTACCTTCAGGAGGGGCGAAAAAATTAAAGAAAGAATCATTGGAAACCGTTTTGGTCACAGTACGAACTGTCCCTCGTCCCTTGTGTTTCTGCTTCTTTTTAATGGTTTTCAAAGTGACGTTCTTCCCTTTTTTCCAATCTATCTGGCACCTTCCAAAACAAAGGGGGGAAAAACTATCACAATTAACATTACTTGCAAGGAAAGCTAAGATTTTTCTAATTAAATGGTATATTTAACTTCAAATTTTAAAGAGCAAAATTGGTTCAAATGCTTTCTGTAGCAGTGTAAAGAGAAAAAGTTATTTCTAAACAATTTTTTTCTAAATACATATATCTGCAATTACCACAAACTCAACAATGTAATTTAAATGTGCACTTCCTTTGGAGACATAGCTATAATAGTCTACAGGCCAAGGAGAATTCTAAGAAAATGAATAAGCTCTTCTCAAAAAAACATTTTACTCCAACTATGTATATATGTATCAAGCACACAATAGGAAACACCATCACAGATCAAAATTAAAACAGACACAGGTATAACATTCTACTGAAATAGTATAAAATTAAACTCACCCTGTACAACCCATAATTTCTGGTCCATCAAAAGAAAAGGGATCAGAATCATCTGGTTCTGACCTCATCCTGTATGTCTTTGTCAACACTTCATTTGTGAAATAGTCATTGGGTTCAAAGTGAAATTCTAAGACAAAACTCTTTTAAAAAAAAAAAGTATAAAGACGAATTAAATTCCTACATCATCAATTTCAATGCTTTAGTAAACTTTAATCTGTGATATTTATACACATAAAATTCTAAGTGATAAAATTTTTCCTATTCTGGGAAATGACCAGATTAATCTTCAATTATGTTAAAAGCCATAATTGAGGCACAAAATAAACTAAATAAAATTTAGTTCAGCTTACACAATTTTAGTACATGTTTTCAAAATAGGTTAGGCACACCTGAATGAAGCAACCAAGTCCCCCTTCCTCACAAAGAGGACTTTTAAATCTTACACTTGAACCCGAGCTTGACAGAGAAAAAACCCAACCTTATTTATGATATGCAATACAAGTATCTAAGCCGATAGTATAGCTTTGCCCACACTTTACATCATACTGATGGTTTTGCAGAGAAGCTGTTGCTCTTTCATAAAGGGGATGTGGGGGCCCTTAACGGCTTGTTTTATGTAATTCCCAGACACATGCCTTTTAATACAGAATATTTTTTTATTTATGTTTTCTTGCTTTTATAAATTCATTTTTAATCCAGGATCAAGGACAGACTATACTCTGAAAGTAGTTATGTTCAGAGGGAGGAAAAGAAATAAATATTGCATCACACTATCAACATCCAAACACTTATTTCCTATCAACAATTAAGTGTATCAAGCATCAGTTTGAATTTCTTTTTACCCCCCTCTCTACCCCTTGAATGTCACACCTCTTTTCAGAAAGTTCCATTTATCTACCTGTTAACATCTACCGTCACAAAACTACAAGTATTTCAAAGTTCTTTTACCATAGGCTGGCCCGCATCTGAGAACTTCACTTTAATATCTTTCAAGTGCTTCAGAATAGGCTCGTCATGTTCCTTCAAATGAAAAACATATTAAAATAAACATCTCATGTGGCATTTTAGGGCCAGCGTTCTGTAACTGGGCCATTCACCTTAGGCTGACTGACACTTAGTGAACTTTTATGTTACAACTACATCGTTATTCAGCTGGAATGGGCTGCCGAGTACAGAACCAAGTCTAAGGCAGGCATGTTTGCTTTAAAAACGTTTCCTCATTGTAACTGCTGCCACTAACTGTTCTTGTTCCTTTCCTTCTGCTTGATGCTATCCCTAACTTCATTAAAGTAGAAATTTAACAAGAAGTCATTGTTTCGATAGTTTTTCTTGCCGTTAAGTTCCATCGCAAGTACTACAATGCAGATGGTAGTGGCTCAAGAAATGCTTCTGATTCAGAGAGGCCAAGTTTCCAGAGAAAATGACAGCCATTAAAGGGTGCAAGATATTTAAGTATTCTTTTAAAATGCAACTATCCCTTGGAATAGTTGTTTCAGACTGAAAAGGTCTTTTGGGTAAGACAACTGAAAGTGGTAAGCCTCTCTCATCCTGCCTCCACACTAAGCATCTAAAGACAAGGCACCAGGCTGAGAAAGCACCAAGCAATAGTGAGCCATTATCCAAAGGACCATTTCATTACCTAATTTTTGAAAATGAATTATAATTTATTTGATTACATTAATCAAAGCTGCAATTTTCCCTCTACAAATAACAGCTGTTTCAAAAGAAAGCAATCATTCTACAAAACAAAGGTCAACAATGAAGAAACTAGTCATTACAGAATTTAAATTTTAAAGATTTACTGGGGCAAACTGGTGTTTTAATGAATAATATTACCTGAACCATATCACTGAGCAAGTCAACATTTTTAAAAACAGTCAACCAAAATTCAGGAATTCCCTTGGGGTCTTCTTTTTCTTCATCCTTTTTCTCATCTTCAATCTTGGCCTTTTCTTTCAGCTCCTCCTTGTTAAATGACAGTATACATTATTGAATACCTAGATTACCTCTTGATAAAATCTTATACATGCCCTTAACTTAAATGGAGTGGCAGTTTAGAAACCAACAAACCCCCAATCACTAATTAGGTGGTAGAGGGGTTCATAAGTTCAGCCCAAACAGCTCTAGTCTAATTGTGTAAACACTACTATTACCCATACCAAACCTTACTTGTATAAATATTGCTACTACCATACCCCTCCAAAAAGAACTAGGATGATGAGCTGTAGGAAAACAGTTTGAGGGGGAAAAAAATTTTAACTTCATGAAAAATAGATTTTTAAACATCGTAAACAGGAAAAGTGAAAGAAATAAAGCCTGTCCAATGCTTCACTACCCCTTCATGGTTTTTTTTTTTTAATTAAAATATATTACATTAACTACATTAAAATAGCAATTTTGGAGAAACAGGGTCATGTAACAGAGCACTGGATTTGTCTCAAGCTCTGCCATTTATTAGTTCTGGGCAAGTGACTTAGAAGCTTTCACTTTTTCACTTGAAAAGGGAACAATCCTTTGTATGTCCATCATGAAGTTCAAAGGAGAAGTTTCTATGACTCTATAAACATTAAATACTATAAAAATGTAAGGAAAAAGTCAACTTGGATATAGATGATGGTGCCAGGTTGAACATTGGCTCATTTGCACTCACTACGCATCTTACAACAAAGGAAATATTTTCAAGGTATAAAACACATTAAAGGTGGTACCAACCGAAATTTCATCTTCTTCATCTAGTTTCCATTGACATTCTTCTTCTGTAGGTTCATAAATTGCATTAATGATCTCAAATCGCTAAAGTGATTAAAAAAAAAAAAGCTTGCATAAAACACTGGCATCCAAGCTAAAAACTAGCCACTTCTCATTAAGAACTCATAGAAATTAAATTAACGCATACCACAACTTGAATCGCTATTACTGACAGCTTTCCCAAATACATCTAATAACCACTTTGCTGAAAGATCTAAAGAAAGTTTGTTTCCAGGGCTTTATGTTCTCTAATTTTAAATAAAACAAAGTAGGAGAAAGCATTACCTTATCAAATAAAGGCTGATAGAGAACAGCATACTTTCTTTCAAGATCGTGAACTTCCTCATAGAACTTGGCTTCTATGTGTGCACATTTAACTTGAAGGTTTTTGAGAGCATTCACTCGTCTTTTAACTACCCTAGGCAAGCTGAAAGGTTAGAAAGCACCAGTTACATAGCATCACAGTACAAGTCACACTTCTTTTTATCATACTGCAATTAAAGCATACAAGTTAGCAAATGATAGGTTTCCTATTTAAAGCAAAAGACAGACTAAGTCAGAGTAATTAAAATTTAAGAGATTAGTACATGGACCTCTTACTGTGAGTTCTAAAGTAGAAATTTAACCAGATACAGTAAACTATTATAGTAAGAAAGTGTAAATCATATCATCAACTCACATTGTTCACTGTACTCAAACTCAGCTTTGTTCTTATCAGTGCTGGCATCTAAGCTGTAAAACACAGTCTTATAAAGCTATAGTCATGGAATGATGATTCTAACTCGAAGAATAACGATAACCTGAGTTTTTTAAAAATATAAATATCTCACCTGTAACCAGTTAGTATTAGAGAAAAGGAGGGGAGCATGTGTATGCTGGGAACCACAACAGTACCCTACACCATTATTTCGTATTTTAGTCTCTATTTAATTTGGAATTTGAAACCATATTAAATAAGAATGTAATGTTTTATGAAAAGAGGACATGATTTTCTTTTTAATAGCAGCTTTAATGAAATATAATTCATATCATACAATTCACTATTGGGTATAGATTTTTGAAGGGTTATACACATAGTCTGTGAGCCCCTTACAGAATGTTTAAACATATGAGCCCCTATACCAACAAAATATGTTCACACTCAAAATTTACCTAACTTTAGGGAATCTGTGCAACAGATCCAGAAGCCAAGTTATTGTAGAATTTCCTGCCATAGACGGGATAGTTGTAAATCAAGTCATTATCTTCCTTAATCACAACTTAAGATAATCAGAAATAAAAAACAAATACCTAAATATATCAACCTTTTATTTCTTACAATTAAAAATAAAAAGGTTAGGGCTGGCCGAGTGGCGTGTTGGTAAGAGCTGGCTTGGGATGCCAGCTCTGAGCAGCAGGGCCCCA